ACAGTTAGAAGGGCAGGCCCTTGACCAGCACCCACGCGAGCCCTCCGACGGGCTTCCCGAAAATATTGTCAAATGCCGGGCAGAAAAGGGGGTCCAGGCAGAAGAAGGCTATACAGGGAAAAGAAAGCCAAGTTCTAGGCTGGATTTTTGACGCTGACCGGCTTCGTCAGTGTGATATTTCGTCGAATATACTTCAGTGGGAGAACTGAATATTTCATTTTTACAATAATGAGGACTTGTTTTCGAACATGTAAAAAGGCTCGGATTGAGGCAAAATTCATATTTCCAGTGAATTAAAAAAAAACAGTGATCAAGTTCCTTTCTCGTCCTGTGTACCTCTAGATGGATAAAAGCTTTTAATAATCTGTCGGGGTGTATGTCAATCTACAGATGTCCATATATGGGAATAAGGCTCCTCTCACCAGGGACAATTTGGGCATCGTAATCTCTGTGCATGCCGAACGTCGTTTTGTTGGCTGCTTGGCCTTTAAATTGTTTCGAGTAGCTTTCTCGTGAGACATTTTGAGCTAATCATTAACAGACGGTGGCATGTGCAGAGAGACTTCAGCTGGAGTTGTCCTTGGAAAGGGGAGTACTTCTAAGTTCTATCTGATATTCCTGGCATGTTAGGTAGACCGCAGAAACAGGTGGTAATAGTTGTTGATGCTCTAGGCTGGCCGTGCACCCCAGGTGCACCCCCAGACGAAACCGGTCGATCAGGGGCACGGTCCTGCTCAAACCTTCAGTGTAGAGAGATCTTTTTCGGAAATCTCACTAGAGCCAAAATAAGCTAGAAGAAAATGAAAGAGTATAGCTGAAATGTTGTTAATTGAAAGAAGCCACAGCTAAAGTCATTCTCAGAATTACCACAAATGCACACTATTTGCTAGAGAAAGCTTACGATTACGCTGTAAGAAGGCAACCAGTGGAAAGTGTCCTGTGAAAATGGAATAGACGATGCTCAGGAGAGCAGACAAGCTCTAACCGACAGCTATGAAGAAATTAAGCTCTAGTGGAATCCGTGCCCGAAGGTCTATCCACAACCCATGGCTCGATAAGAAAAAGAGTGGAAAAAGAGAAAGTTCCATAAAAACTGGAAAAACATAATTCTCACTTCAGCGATAGGCCTGCCCATATAAATGGGCAGGCCTATATCAAGTGAGGGTAATCCATATGCGTAGCGTGGATGGAAAAAGAAAAGAGGGGGGGGGAGACACCTATCCCTATTGGCCCTTCCGACACTACGCCCCTGGGGTCGTCCATCACAAGTGGTCCAATATTTGTTGATTGAATTTGATTGCATCACCGACTGAGATTTCACTCTTTAAAAAAATATGACTATTAGAGGTTATGAGGAATCGGTGAATCCAAAATGCAAATTCAAGTGAAACGGTCCCTGAGGTGTGCCTCCTAAAATTTGGGAGGGAAGGGCAAAACGACAGATCTCTCCAGCTACTCAAGCTACAAAGCTGGGTGATGGCTCATTTTAGAGCTTGAAATGAGGCGAATATGGCATTTGTTTATTCGATATGTTTTCTCTATTTCTCTTCTCTCCTTAAACTTTTCTTGATAAAAAAAGAAATTCATTCTCAAAATTTTCAGTGAAGGGAAAGCTGATGATGAATCCAACTTTGCGGTCTTTCGTACTTCGATGGTCCAATCCAATAACATCTTTCACTCTTATATATGTATTTTTTTTTTACTGATTCCTTCATTGTAGCCATATGTATGTATTAGCTAATTTATTGTGCTGATTCGAACTTTCACATGTTGCCGAAAATTCGGCAAATATTGACCTTCAATAACTTTTGTTTGATTTCAGATTTTATTCGAAGGCACCCCTAAGCTGGACTCATTACCAGCTTTCCCTTTCCTGAAAATTTTGAGGCTGAAATCTTAATAAATCTTAAATGTTCTGCAATGAAAGAAATATAACTTTTTACAATAGACAGAGTAAAAAACTGATCAAATAAGTCAGAATCCCCTGATTTCAAGCTTGGAAATGAGCTGTTAACCAACTTCTAGCTTGAGTAGTTTTGGAAACGGTATTTCTGTCACTTTTCCCTTCCCTTCCAAATTTTAGGGGGCATATCTCCGAACGTTGACTTTTCGAATTTATCAATTTCTTATAGCCCTCTAGAGCAGTAAATTAATGCATAAAAACTAAATCTCATTTGTTGTTGTTACCACCTCCTTGATACGGAATGGCCCATGAATGCTCAGTCTCGACCCAGAACGTGTAGAAATGCTCATTCAAGCCCAAACCATGAAGGAAAAATGGTTACGTCGCACCACCTGCGATTCGTACCTTGTAATTGAAGAGTCGGCGCAAGAGAGGAGCTTTTTAGCATAAAGGAATACATTTCGGGCAGCAACAATCAAGCGAGAAATCACTACGATTGTTGAGCCTCGTTCTTGAATTTTCCTTCGTGAGTCGTGGTGGAGGAAAAAAAAAATGTCAGGGATCCGCGAGAGCGGCGTTCCGCGTTGCCCGTCGAGACCAGATGGGAAAGGGAAACCGACGGCAACGAAATTCCATGCATTTCCCGCAGATCCCAAGTTGAAGGCGTGGTGCACGTGGCTCTGCAGCCACGGTGGGGATCCCCTTTCCCTTTCTCAAGGATTCGGCTCCAGCCGACATCCTGGCCCGGATGCCTTCGAGGAGGGTGAACCGAAGAGCTGCATCATATCGTCTTGGTCCCTCCCTGCCGAGCGCGCGAAGCCCGAAAAAGGCAGCATGGCTCCTTCCTTCCAAAACCATCGGATGAAAGATGATCCCGCCACTTCTCGCTCGGATCAGCTCCTGCAGAAGTCTGAGTCGGACCCCAAAGCTTGCCGGGAGATCCGGAAGAGGACAGCAGGCGCGATGGAGGAAGACGAACGACCGAGGAACGAGGCGAAGCGGAGTCGGCTGGAGCAGCGACCCGAACCCGAGTCGCCTGGGGCTACCTTCCATCCTTTTCGGATGGATCGTCGAGGGACGATTCTCATCTACGAGTCTCGCCGAAGCGTCGTTCTCGAGGAATGGCCACGGATCAGTCATCCCGCTCCTTAGCTGGAAATCTCTTCACTGGAAGGGCCGAAACGAGGTTGGCAGAAACGACGTTCCATAAGATGAAATTCCAAGGGATAAGAAAATTAGAAATGCTGCGAGTTCCTCATCCTAGGTCACGATCGTTCGTGGAGATTACTGGATAAAATAAAATCGTTATTTCATGTCTGCCGATTTGTAAATTCACTTGATTTATTGAGGGTGGATGCAGCATATATGGGTTGTGTGCTCCTCTTGGAAGTTTCAAAGACTTTTGTAAATTGCTCGTGACCTCCTGGTGTTTTACGTCTCAAATTCTAATACAGACTATTTGAAAAGTTTTTCGTATTTTTTAGTCAGTGTTTTCCAAGACCATTGCCATGTCTTCAGACAAAGGATCTGCACCCTATATTGTCGAAGTACATTCTTAAGTGACTTTGCCCTGCCGTAGTAGTAATAGTAGTAGAAGTGACTACTCTCGTATGTACGAGGGCTATTCAAATCGGCGGACTGAAAATTTTCAGTCGTTATAAAATGCACGAAGGCCTTACGACGAATCGTGAACCTATGCGTCTTAGCTACACTGCAGGCAAATTTGGATGCGTTGCCGCGCACAATGCGAGTATACGCGCACAATGCGAGTACGGAAAACCTCATGTAACGGCACGTTTCCAGGTCTCGATCGGGATACAAAATGGATGAACAACAGCAAAGATGTACTCTGACATTTTTGCTCTAAACGTGGAAAAATGCCACGGAAGGTGCGAAATGTCTTATGCTCAAGGCTTAATATTCGCACAAAACTTCAATGCACATATTTCCCTGTGTTCATTCAATTTGCACTCGATCGGGATGAGAAAACATGCCGTAACGTACATTCCCCCTGCACTGTGGCAACGTGTCGAACCTTTCTGCGGGGCAGCAAATACGCATGGGTTTCTGATTCGAAACAAAACCTGTCCCACTTAACTATGGCTGAGAAATTGCAGTCTAAGTTTAATTTGAACAGCCTTCGCGTTTCTTCCTTGAGGCCTGTATGAGAAACCATTCGGTGCTGGATCTGGCGAGTAAGAGCCTCAGAAAATAAGGTGAAGAGAGGAGATAGATGACCAAAACGGAAATATGTCGATATTCCGTCACCCGTCACTTCTATTTCTGTTATAATATCTGGACCGAGTCCTTGGGTTTGTGCTCACGACTGTCTGTTCCGTTATCACGAAGCTGTGTAGCCCATAAAAAAAAAGTAATTATTTTTTTCTTTCGTATGGCAAAAAAAATTAATAATGATGGCGCTAGTGTATGTATACGATGGCCAATTCGCGATTAAAACTTTGGATGAAACTTTTTAATGGAAAGTATGTAGTCAATATCGACCGCCAGGTGTTTCGTTCGGACCTCAGCAAGGAAAAACGATCGCAACTGGAATCCTGGCCGGAACCGCCATTCTATGGACCCTGGCCTTCTTCCTTTCGGTCCTCTGCCTGGAATGGTAGCACCGGTCGCTCCTCATAGCCTTCATCACCGCCGGGATCCTCAGGTGGTTCGTTCGGACGAGTGGGAGCGTCTCGACCTTCAAAGAAGCGGGTGAAGAACACAAGAGAGCAGGCATTTGTCCTTGAGACCTACGCAGCTGCCGAGACCTCCCACTTTTACGAGCTTTGGGTCGTGATTGGGACCATCATCACGTGGATTGAGGGGACAAAAAGCCGAAGGTATTTTCAAGGTCTATGCTTTCTGCGTCTTTCTGGCACTATTTTGGGACACTCACCCTCTCCGATATCTGCCGACCGAAATCACGGTCAATCGTGTGAATGTTGATCATAAAATTTATGGAACTCATGCAGTTGAACTGTAAAAAGCTCTAATAAAAAAGCTATGGAGATACCAGCGCGTTACGGACGATAAAGGTCATTACCATGTTTCGCAATATATCTGGTGAGGGTAGATAGATCTGCAAACACGGATGTGGATTACATTGGATTGCACCCGTGAAGATAAGGAGAGGTATATAGAGGGCCGAGGAGGAGTCTCATCACGGGTTTCTGACCTGACTTGCGACCAACCATGAAGACTGTCCTTCTCCTCGGTTTCCTCGGCCTTGTTTTGGCCGCCTCCGCTCAGGTAAATCTCAACTTCATTATTTACATTTCCCAGTTCCTGGTGTGTCTCGTATCTATATGGCAGGCTGAAGTCGATAATTGAGGGTTACAGAAAAGGGTTCTCAGCACGATGGTGCTTTTGAATCTCCCCATCTCTGTCCCTGTTCCCCTGTCCCCATACTCAGCAGGGGAATTCAAAGTCATTGAGTATGCTGTATGCTATATGAGAGACGAACGGTTGGTGGAATGTTTAGGCTGGAGGGGTGAGCTACATCCGTGCTGTTGCACCAGAGCCGGATTTCAGCGATCCAGCCACTCTGCTCGCCGCCGAAGAATACGTGAGGCTAGCCAGTTCCATGAATTCCAGGCAAACGCAGCGTAATTTTCTTTGACTACTCACGATCGGCTCTTTCCATCCCTTAGGGTTTACTGCTAATACTGTATGTTCGTAAATATAGGTTGCGGGGTGCCAAATAAGGGGGGAAAGGCAAGGATCGTCGGGGGTCACGAAGTGGATGTATTGGAATACCCATGGCAAATCGCATTGGTGGTTCGAGTGCAATACAACGAAACTACTCAGGCCGGCGGGTTCTGCGGAGGCACTCTCATCAGCGACCAATGGGTTCTCACCGCTGCTCACTGTGTCGATCTGTGAGTCTTTAAGTCTTTAGGCTCGGATGCTGAAACATTTTCCGGTTAACGAACTATGGACTCCTTTGGACATAAAAAGCTATTTAGCTTAAAAAACTCATTCATCCACCCAAACGTGGTTTCAGCATTCAGGCCTTCGTCTCGATCGGCTTCTATCTGAGCTCCAGGTCTCATATCTCCTTTCCTGGATAGTCCATATCCCGTGCTGAGTACAACTGTGTACGTCGGAGCCCACGACCTCTCCTTGTCCCGCGAAGAAGATGGAAGGACCGAGATCGTTGGTGAAAGCTGGTACACACACCCCGAATGGGACTCTTCCACCGTGAAGAACGACGTTGCCCTCATCAAGCTCAGCCAACCTGTCACCTTCGACGGTGAGTGTCGACGAGGGAGAGCCGACATCCAATGCGAACCGAGATGTGGGAATGCTTGCTTTTGTGTTTCAGATGCGATTTGCCCCGTCTGCATGGGCTACGGTGGAGACATCGAGAAAATCGACGTGGAAGCCATCGGATGGGGAAAGACCTCCGACGCCGGCGGCCGAGCCGATACTCTTCAGAGGATTCACACCACGACCATGACGAACAGCGCTTGCAGGATGGCGGACTTCGTCTTTTTCCTTCTCGTTTCCAGCAACCACGTCTGCATCGAGACCCACGGAGGAGCCAAGAGTGTCTGCAATGTGAGTGCCGTTTCCCATCATCTCACCGCCTGGGTCCCGTGCCCAGATTCTGCTTTATACGATCCGAGCTTTCATCGAGACGATTCCTGTATTCTTTCGACCTCCAGGGTGACTCTGGTGGCCCTCTGCTCCGTTGGGATGGGGACCGTTATTCCCAGATCGGAGTCGTGTCCTTCGGCAGCTCCAAGGGGTGCGAAAGCGGGTCGCCTGCTGTCTTCTCTCGCGTTGACAAGTACCATTCCTTCATCTGCGGCACCTCTGGCGTGTGTTAATTGCGCATCACCCGTCTGAACTAGAATAAATAATCGTATCCATGACTTGCCGTTTTCACGTCTTTACTTTAAAATGTGCTAATTCCCATCTCGGGTGAAATGAATTTATTCAATGTCTTCGCTATCATGAGAGGCCCTTTCAATTTCTTCGTCTTTCTTGCCATCCCCAGCCCTTTCCTTCTCTTCCACCTCGTCCTTCCAGCTTATCTTTCTCTGTCGAATCCTGTTGGTTTTCGTCTTTTCCCGGACCCTATTAGTGCCTTCTGACTTGAATCCGCGGCCGCGGCACACGAGACCGAGGAAGACGAACATGTTGTACACGGCCTTTGAGGTCATCCACAACTCCCGAGGGAAACTGCTTCGTTTCCAATCCCTCTTCTCCGCGCCTGTGGCTTCCGACTCCTCTCGTGCATCAGGTACGAACACGTGCTGGGCGAACATGAGGAAGCCGATGAATATCCGGGAGAATACGCCGATGAGGATGGTGCCCAGGATCCCCATGGTCAACACGAGTGGGGGGATTCGATGAACCAAGGGCTTGGCCGGACTTGGTCTCGATCTAGATCCTGATGTCGATGGTTCAGGGGTCGTCGTGGTTTCTGTCATCTCTGATTGAACCGTCGTTTCATGCTCCCCCTTGATCGAATCCGAATTGGACTTTTCCTCTTGTCCATCGCTAGGAACACAGACCAATTTTTGAAAAAGCACAGGTCATGCTCCTGCGAAATCATTTAGAAGAAACATCACCAAGACGGAAATTTACTTGCTTCCCCGTTTCCTTTTGGTCAGCAATTCACATTCTGAGTTTTCAAACTTATTCAACTTAGAGAACAAGAACACTGACTGGCCAGTTGTCTGAGATGCAAACACGTGAAATGACGGATGTCACATCATGACTGGCCTATTTTTACTTTAACGTATGAGTAATTAATTGAAGCCGTGAGTTCCGATATCCCCAGCCCAGATGTGAGCGAATTTCCTCACGCGCTGAAGAAGAAAGACGGACTAAGCTGGTCGTTGTCTGATGCTAGTCCCAACCGCAACTCGTTGATGATCTCTTGGAGACCCAAGGCAACATGTTCATCCTCTTCGAGAGACGGAGTGACAGATGTCGCAGACGTCGTTTCCGATTGCCATGTTTCCTCGAGAATCTCCATCTCTATTTTCCCATCTTCCGGTGCTTCCATTTCTTCCGGCATTTCCACCACGTCACCTTCTGGGGATTTTCCTCATTCAATCGATTCACCCGATCGAGAACTTTTCTATCTTCGCATTAAAAAAATTACCTTTGAATTCTTCTCTGCTGGCGACGTCTGCTTGATGCTGTTCTGCATAACGTCTCGCCAATGGACCCCTCCACCAATCACGGGATACCTTGAACGTAATCATTGGACATCACTGGAGGAGCTCTCTCGAAGTTCTAAATGGTGAAGCAATGTTCCCATTTTTATCTTTAGGTCTTAACTATCCTACCACTCTCGCGTTCCCACCAAGACCATCCGAGGTTGAGTGACGCTTAGGTGATGAGAGGCAAGATGGAAGGTGGGCCCTGAGAATTTATGGAACCAATGAGGAAGGTCCCAGAAGGCTTTGCCTCGGGCTTCACAATCGTTAGCTAATCATCCATCGTCTCCTCAATGATCTCTTCGGCTTGACATACTCCCGATGATAGCTAAATTTAAACTATCACTGACAACTAACGATTATCAAATTCCATTTCCCACAATATACTTTCGTAACGATCGTTAGATACGGTAAGAATGGGAACATGGCTTTTTGAAGGAATTAAATGAGCGTGACCGAGAAGGGGATTAGATTCGATCGGCTAACCTGCGTGAGAAGAGGAGGTGGAAGAAGTGAATGACACGAGACGAAAACCAGTTGGAAGAAAATGACGGGAGTTCTCATAACCCTTCGACCGATCCAGGTTGCCTGGATGCCCCGGTCCCTCTATCGTCTGCTCCCACTTGGAACAATGGACTCGATGAACAACCCTCTCCTGCCTCGTTTAATTCACGGTTCAGGATGCATCAGTCTCAAGTAAGACTCAAGTTGCGTAATGGGTTTTTGCATGTCGGGATCGTGAATACGTAGAAGGCGTTAGGTGATGCACGGTTCTATTCTCATCGTTTGCTTATCTTTCCGCGGAAGAACTTCTTGACTTTTTTCTTACGCAGCTGATTCTAATCATCTTACGAAAGGAATAATTTTTTCTCTGTAACTTATTTTTTACTTACAGGGTTAAATAAAACGTTTGTATCAAGTGAGCCAAAGATAGAGCTTGTTACATCCAGCAAGCGTCATGTCCGTGCACTCCCCCCCCCCCCCCCCCCCCCGGCAAGTTTGAGTTTCCCCCGGTGGCTTGTTGACCGTAACGAAAATTACTTATTTTTTCTTTCCAAGCCGTTCGCATGTTCGTGTCGCAGAATTCCAAGGAACGATAAACGCATGATTTAGTAAGGGTACTCCGCAGCCGAGTCTATTCATGAAAGGAAAACCTTATATTCAGATCAAATATGGTAGATATTCTGCAGTTGAGAAAAAAAAAGTCCAAGTAAGCTTACATAACTTTCCGCAACTTCCTGCGTCATAAAGAGTAGGGGGAGGGAGAAGCGCAGTGTCCGAGTTTCGCCTTAACCATCATATCTCGTAACCCTAGATCAGGGTGTCAACTGCTTTCGATCATGCAAATCGTCCGAAGATTAGAAGCTTTCCTCTTTCAGGAAAAAGCACATAAGCGGCATCCTCTTATTCCAAAGCAGCTCCATTGACACAGAGGAATGGCTGCTTTCGTGAAAGTTGCGGAAATGTTTCAGCTTACGACAGCCTCGTGCCTTACATAGCTTTACGGGAAAAATTTTAACGTTTTATTTTTTACAATTTTTTAAATTCAAAGATGAGTAACCACAGCAAGATTTTTCTCAGTAACAAAAAAATGTGGGTAACGCCATTTTATTTGATTAAGTCCTGGGATGAGAGTAGGGCCCTTTTTCCTCTAGCCCTTTCCTAAAAATATCTGAGGGTAAGAGCTTTTTGGCCTAAATGTTTGTCGTAAGGTGTCTCCCTTCGGCTCAACCTTCAGGCGTTCTGAGTGTTGCCGCTTTATCCTATAAGTAGAGGGGTAGACCTCGCTGAGAAGGGAGAAGTTAGGATGCGTGCTTGATCTCGACCCAAAATTTCCATGACAGAAATGCCTCTACGATTGTCGAATCTTGTATTATTGGCACAGCATGGACCATAGAGATCGTATATACCTAGAGCGGAAAGCTGGCAGCGCTAGGTTGGCACAGGCTGTGTGGAATTGACGCCATATTGGCCGGGTCACCTACTCGTCCCCTCTCCAATGCAGCGCCCATCTGGCCTTCTTAATCGCTTTTCCGCGCTTCTCACAGGAGTTGTTTCGCATTACATATCGAAAGGGGATCAGGTTAACCTCACGACATGTACGGGCACATGGTTTTTCGGTAGCTTGACGCTTGAGAAATGAGAAATTGTAGCGAGAATGAAGTGACTGCAGCGTCCCATACGCGCGTTTTTTATTTATTTTAAATTATGATTAATATTATTGGGAGTCGCTCCTCTTACTCATACTTCGTAAGGGTATAAATGAGTTCCCCTATTGTCCGCAGCCATTTTGTCCCCACACGTGAGATTACTAGCCTTGCAAACTTCACAAAAGTTAACCATAAGTTAAATACGTTGAGAAAGACTAACCTGTTACAAAAACTTTCCAGCTGATGAAAACTATCATATGAAAAATTTGCCAGTGTGCAACTCTAATAGGGCCAGTAGATAAATGCAGTAATTAACCTCTGCTGATTTTGCATAAAGTAATGGCCATAAAAAATATTTGTGATCAAGTCACTTAAGACTCTCTGGTGATATCCCTGGCATACTTCCTCCCTCTAATGTGCAAAAATGCATCAAATACTTTCCTGATAAGCAGTCACATGAAGCTCTCTATCGAAAGCACGCTAGGACATGTGGTCCTTCAGACCAGAGAAGAGGTTTTACTCCAGAGCTTTCAGGGACGTCATTTTGGGGGGGGGGGGGCAGTTGCCCCCCCTTGTGTCTTAGAGCAATTTTTAAATAGCCTTCTTTATTCCCCATAATATAATAGCCTGAAAGTCTGCCTTTAGAACTCTCATGCGGCATGGTTTTCATGGCTCGTGTTCATTTTGTTGTTGTTAAATCTCAGAGCATTCACGAACTCAAGAGATACGCTCTCAAAACTTAAAGCTAATCGACCCAGTTTTAACTTGCTTTTAATAACTACCTGAGCCGAGAGACTCTTATTCGTCACGAAGATAGTAAAAAAAAAAGAGTAGAGTTGTCTCCCATTGGCCGCATCGAAAGCGAACACCAAGTATCGACGAATTCGCAAAAAATTTAAAGTTCCTCGTACTCCGCTGTTGCGCTGAATCTAATCTATTTCGTGGGCGTTAAAACGGTTTTCCTAAACCAGAGAACTTCTGCGAATCTGCTTTACGCCTCTTCAACTGTCATTTGAGAGGTTTTTTTGCTGCCGAGTGCAACCATGGTTGTATTGATAGTTTCATCTAATTAAATATCATTCTTCTTTTAGCCAAGTTTTACATGACAACGCAGGGAGGATTTCTGGCGCCGATTTAATATCGTGAAATCCTAAGGTTTTCCTTTATAATTTCGCGAAATTTGAGTTTCACGAACTGGACCACTCCCCATGTTTTGGCCATTAGTCCATACGGGAAAAAAAATTCACGAGCGATTCAATTTTGCGATTGATTACATCTCGTAAATTCACGAAATTGAAGCAGGCGATAATATTTCTGGCTGAACTGTGTTTATTTTTTCAAGTTGCCTATCTTCTTTGCCCCCCGTACAGTTTTACCAAATGACGTCCCTGGAGCTTTAGCTACCTTTTTCACTGTTCTGTACTGACAAGGCAGCCAACATAATATTTGAATGAAGTCATGTGAAAACCATTTTTCAAAGGCTTCCCCTCTCAACCTCAAGCCTAAGCCTAACGAATAAACTTTTTTCAGGTCAGGCCTAAGCCCACCTTTTCTCGTTCAAACGAAACTCAATCCTCGACTTACGTGGCCAATTAGGCCAATAAGGATCAATCCATGGTCTCGATAGCAGGCCTATTCAGACTCTCACGAACCATTTCAGGCGTGTAATTTTAGACCGATTCGAGTTTCATGTACCATTTCAGCGTGGACGTGGAACGTTTGGTCAATCAAGAGTTCCTCGAACCTTATCGACTAGGTCTGACAAGAGAATGACTCCAGGAAGCATGTGAAACGCATGGTGAAGTAGGCGCTACCCGGTTATGGATGACCCGGCTATCATGGCTTCCAAACCTCACACTACATTAGCGCCACCAGCCACTCTAGGTATGAAATATAAGATCTCTATGGCATGGACAGACTCAGCTCACCAGTGCCACCAATCAGAAGGTTTAATAAAGTGATGGCCGCGTGCTAGCCCCATGTGTGAACACGTGGGCGCGAACTGCACTCTTCATCTTGCCCAAGAGAATGTTGGGCCTACACTATGCCTGGGCCTCTTGAAATATCAGAGTTGTAGGCCTACGTGAATATATTGCTCTTATTTGCATCGACCTACAGTACCTTGAGCTACTTCTATCGATGGGTGGCAATCGTCGTGTGTAGTGTTTCAGCAAAACCCGATGGTAGTCTTTAGCAAACTCTCATTCGCAGGTCCCAGCTTGACGCCGGGCCCAGCTGCCTAGGACTCAACAACTCTAAAACTGGGCCAACATCCAATATGAAAGAGCCCAGTGGTACTAAAGAGAAGGGTCCATCGTTCGAGATTACTGTGTCCGATGTCACTCTGCTGTCAGACTGTGCTTCTTCTGGGAAGTATCCACCACTTCTTGGTCAGTGAGTTATTAATTCTGAACGTAGGGGCGTAGGTGTAAGCTACCATTACCTTGGTATTGCATTAGGCTTGAATAAGCCTATCTCTATCCCAAGTTAAACAACTCTGACAACGCTTTCCAATAACCCTTTCTCATTTTGCAGCTTTCATGTTACAAATTTTCCCCTTTTAGCCTGAAAGGCCTAGGTCTGCATAAAATGCCAGTCCCTTGCAGCCCTATTTGTTTGTCTTGTGAACTCTGTGAGCACTTTGACCTCACCAATGTGAGCTCTGATAAGGCAGAGGCTGACATACAGTTACCATTTCTCGCAGTCGTGTTGTTTCTGCAATTCTCTACTGTTCTCCTTCAGCACTAGAGCATGGTTATAGAGTCCCACCCTGCTTGACCTTTTGCTGTCATTCAATTAACACTCAATTCATTTTTAATTCCTGTTCTTTCTTCAGTGAATGATGTACATTCAGTGTACAATGCACTGAATGATCGTTCTTCATTTGATAGTTATTTGTATTTGTATTCCATTAGCTGTAGACCTAGCCAATGTGGGTCTATCTTCATCCTGTGAACACCAAGTATCCCTTGGCTTTTCCATGTGAATATCTGGGGACATGAAAGTCTATGAAGACATATGATCATGTACACCCAGTCACCACTTCTTTTCCCAGTTTCCTGTCAGTGTTATGAATCCCTCCCATTCCCATGCATCCCTTCCCCCTATTCTCCTTCATTAATGGAAAGTCTTTCTGCAATAAAACACAAATTGGCATGCCATAATGCTATTTAGTTTTTCTCAACCCTTTTTGTACCAAATTTTCCACAGCCAGCAGCACCTGCAGTATCAAGCTTTTTTTGCTGAGCATGCATTGCAGAACTTAGGTTTTCACTTGATATAAGCATATAATACCCTTTAGTTAGTAGTTATTTAGGGTCATACAAACCTTCTTTTACTTTGAAGACATACCAGTTGAGTCATGATCCCCAGGGGTAAAATTGTGCTGCTGTACGTGTATGGCTATGACACCAAATGAGTTAATTGGTGCCTTAAACTTCAATTTCCAGCCCACTTCATTTCTCCTCTGCACCCCAGCAATGTAACATCTCTCTACACTATCCCTTGAGTGTGCACTTAGGGAGCAGGTTACATACTCTGGCAATAGGTTGATCAATCAGATCACATACAGCTAGCCAGTTATGATGTAAAGAGCAGAGATGGAATGAAACTATGATTCATCCTACATTACTAATATTTGGATATTTGTCTTTTAGTTGTAGCAGTTTTCAATCTGCTGCCTGTCAAGGTATAATGAAACTAATCATAAGTGAGGTCTCTGCTTTATCTTATGAGAAAAAGCAGCCTCTCTCACTTTGAGGACAAAGAAAACAGCATATAAACCCAATGTCAGTGCCCCATGCTTCAGGCATTTTTAAATGGGATAATTTGGTCATGACAAGTATTCTCAAGTAATTTATGATATCCACTTTTAAGATAATGGAAGGCATGAGTATAACAAAAATAGCCTGTAAACTATAATATGGTCTTGTTTGACCTTCAGGTAGTCTCATGGGTACTGGTTTTTAGTTGCTGGTATCCTGGAGCAGATTTATAGACTGATGCATATCAAATTTCCTACTGGGGAAGATATTGCCTATGTTCAGCATGACCATGTGACCATGAGGTCATATTTATTTAATTCTCCCTTGGTAGGTACTGACACTATCAAATCTGTAAAGGGACCTTCTTTTTCAGTGAGGCAGATGTGTGGAGAAGGACATAGGAATTCTACAAACCTATCAGCAGAGTACCACTTGCTGAAGCAAGGATCAGCCCTTAAACTAGTAGGAAAAGTTGGCCAAACCCCAGTTGAGAGCTCTGAGATCTTCCCTTCTGAGCTGGCAGGATTGGAACGCTGTTTTATTGGGGTTGTAGATGGAAAAACCTTGCAAATGCATCTCCTGGAGACAGCTCAAGTCATCATGGCACCTAAGATTCCTGAAAAGGCATCACCTGCTACTCCTGCAAAGGAGAATCAGACACCTGAAGATAAGTTGAAGGAAAGGAGGGAAAGATTTCAGAAGAGGACTGGTGAATTTGGATCAAAGAAACTGCAGGTAGGACTCAGCTTAAAATCTCTGTGTTCACATGTCTACTGTAGCCATGTAAAATAAAAAGTAAGGAAATGGCTTCAATTGCTCTTTATCCAAAGTATGAGAGGTTTTTTATCCTATAATTACTGTTCGGGTCCTATGGACCCTGATACAAAAATTTAGTTGCTTGTATAGACTGCACCATAAATTTGTCAAGTTCAATAGTCCCTGTATTTTCATGAGGATATGATGCTGTGATCATTAATCTTGAAAATTTACCAAGATGAGCCATCTTTAGGAATTCACATACTTAACACATTCGCTGTAATTCACACCATATGGCATGTTCAGCACAGTGAACCTCCACTGCTATGCTTGGCAAGGAGAGGTTGACTGAGTCCTCAGTAGTCAATGTGTAGTTAATCGCTGGTTTTCCTCTATTCCAGTTCATATTGAACTATTCATTTTTCCAGACTTGAAAATGCTGGATTTGCCTACAGGTTGTGTTGAAGCGAAGCTTACGGCAAGAGGAGGCAGCAGTTGATCAGCAAGAGATGGGGCAAATTGCTGAACAGATGAAGCCCATCTGCATGGAAACAAGGGAGCAAATGATAAATAGCCTCATGAAACCCTTGCCCCCTTGTAATAGAGAAGCTTCTGATGTTGCAGATGTCTACTCAAGGGCAGATATCATCAGTGATTCAATATGGACAGGATTGGATTCATGTGCCACAAGTTTCTTGGAAGCATCCAAGGAAGAGCTGGAGGAATGGAAAGTTCCAGGAAAGTATGTTAACTTTGCTTTCCATGTAGGTTCTTCTGTATGACCTATTACAAGGCACTTGTATCAGGCTACTTTGAATGCTGCATTTTGTGTATGCTTTTTGGAGAAGCTATTTTCTGTATGCCCAGTCACAGCAAGAACAGGGAGCTCCTCTCTGGAGATTAAGTAGATTGGAATTGTCCAGTGCATCCTCAAATGTTCTCATCTACTCAAATTTTGAAGAAGATTCCCTTCTTCTGCCTAGGCTAAAGCAGGTTCTGCTTCAGTCAGTCAGATTATATCAACCCCTCAATCTCTCAGCTTTTAAATACCCTGGTATAAGACAAGCATTCATTTAAATTAAAACTTTCCTCAGTTTCACAGCCACAGCAGCCATTCCATCTAGAATGGTGTTGCTGTATATTTCTGAGCATACTCTGAACCTTAGTCCAAAAAGTGCCAAAATCAGATATGACAATTTCTAATTTTGGTACTCTTTGGACTTTGGGTCAGAGTATGTTCAGTCTGAGATGACAAACATATGGTAGTTTATTGTGTATGGCCATGAGAAAACTGTACAGAGTATATGGAAATGGCCTGTGAGGTTAATTTTCCCTACCTCTTCTCACCTCCAAGTCCCTTGCTTAGCAAGGAGCCTCTAGATATGACAACCCCAGAGTTGAGGGAATTCACTATGCAAGTTTTCATTATGGCAGAAATTCCTGTTTCTGCTAATCCTATAGGCATCTTTATCTCCCTCATAGAATCATTTCCTTGTAAGGGGACAGGTTATCTGGCAGTGTTTGACCCTTCCTTTCATTCAGCTTTCTACTCAGGTACAATTGTATAAATATTGACTTATTCCATATGTGAGAGAATGGTATTAACTTTTCTATTTTTATCTGGGAAAGTAGAAGTTCTTTCATGACACTATCCACTCAAACATTCATTTGACTGGCCTTCCCCTATTGCACGAACACCTAAATATTGCTCTTGGATTTGGGTCTCATGAAGCTCATATGAAGCAGTCACTGAAATAGTCCATATTACATAACTTGATTTATTCCTATAGGACAAATATGGAAGAAAATTCTGGGAATTTCTGTGACATTCTTTTTTTGTAATTGAGTGTTTTTGCAAGTCTGCATATTTGTGGAACCAGTGCTATTTACATGCTAAATTTGACTGAACCAAGGAGTGTTTGTCAACCTAGTGTATTTTAAGCTGTGCATTATGCATTTGAAGGTTGAGAATACAGCCCATTTTTTGCAATGTTTTATTGCTGAGACTCTCCATCACCCACTGCATTAGCCAATTTAGATGTGATTGGTAGTAATAGTGGTCCATCAATATGAATATTCCCTAGGATGTCTGACTTCTTTTGGAACCATGTGGGTGCAAATCCATCAGCAGAAAAACTGAAGTTGCTTCTATATATAGAGAGCATCATCTTCTTTGCTTCCAAGCCATTGAAGATAATCAAGTACAAGACGCATTGGCCTGCCTGGCTCCCCCAATTTATTGGGGGAGAAGTCTGCCAATACTTCTTTGGAGATGTAACTATGTGAGTCATTCTATTCTCTAAAAAAAAAAGCTGATTTGGATTCTGAAATGGTTCCTGCTTGACTGAAGGCATTTGAATTAGGTTCTGCAACTTTTTTAAAAAAGAAAGTCCCATTTATTTTTTTCCCATGTTTGTGTTGCCAGTGACATTTAACATTTGATGTCAACCTTTGTGACATGCAGTTTCTTCATTATTGCCAGTTACAGTAAAAAGTATGCATTCCTGTCACTAATCACTTTTATGAGTACTTTCAGCTCTAGTGAGTTAACTTTTAGCAACTATTTTTTAATGGTTGCAAGATTCATATTTAAAAAACAGTGTAATTTTACCTTTCCCCAGCATCCAGCAGACTCCTTTCTTTTTCAAAATCTGCTCTCTTTTTCAGTTTGCCTCTAAGTTTTACAGCAACATAATTAACATTTTCATTGCTTTCTTTAATTGATCCCCACTAGCCCATTAGGTAGCTTTTTAAGCTTGCACCATGGATGCTGTTTTACCAGATATACAGGGTGGACCAAAAAAAAAAAACAAAGCTATCATCTTTGGTAAGTTGTCAATCTGATTGTAGCTCGCAGATTCTAATGAAATTTGGTAGACACATTAGGTGACTCAATTAGGGTTTGTGTGCTAAGTTTCAAATAAAAATTCCAAAAACGGTGAGAATGTCATTTAATTTGCTTTTCATCACCAAAAAAGTACGTGTTTATTTTTTCTTTCAGCTTAAAATTTTTCACAACTGACAAAAACAAACAAGCAAACAAACAGAAGAAAAACAAATGCCAAAAACGAAGGCACACAAATTGGTTTAGGGACATTCATTTCATTTGAAAAGGTGCTCAATGTGCCCTCCATGCCATTCTGTTGGACACAAGCCTCTAGTCTGGAAGATCAATGGCTCAGTCAATAAACCTTTGAGGCAGTGCCTCTCGATCTTCCTTTGTAGCATCATTCAGGGATGGAAGGTCATGAATTTGGTCCTCTCTTTCATCCTGGCCTCTAGTTCATATTGATATTTTCAACTGCACATTTTGTCATTGGTCATCAGAAAATAATTACAGCTCCTATAATTTTAGAGCCAGAAGACTGAAATTTTGTATACAAACTCCAATTGTGTCACCTGATAAGCCTCCCAATTTTAATCAGAATCAGCTGCCTACAAAGAGATTGAAGACTCGCCAAAAATGACCACTTTGTTTTTTTGGCCCACCCTGTATATTTAATCTTTCATCTATAATAATGAACTTGTCACCAAATTTTTTTTAGTCCACAGAAATGTTGGCTCCATCACCAGGTTTCAATGAACCTTCACCAAACTGGAGTCAGTCACCAAATCTGCATGAACCCACATCCAAACATTACCTTCATCATCAAACTTATTCATTTTTCAGCAATTGCAACTGTATCAAGCAAAAGACTTTTCTTCACCTCTAGTTAGATCTGTGATGGCAAGATGTGACTATAAGATTGCTTGCTTGCATGATTGAGTGATGCTTCTGGGAAGGATCAGTATTATTTATCTCCTTGTGCCTATGAACACATACAGGAGTTCAGTACAGCACTGTATTCTGCTTTCTACTGTGCTGTACATATTAGAGGTGTCATGGTTAGTAGTGACTTCCAAGGTTTGATGTTTGGTAAAGTGCATAAGATCTAACCAGCAAACTTTAATATCAGAATGAACTAGAGGAAGCAAGGCTCTCCCTCTGGGTTGTCAGAGCTCTGCATTTTGAGGCACATGCCCCATTTGGATGAAGTCAGGTATTTGCAAGCATTAACTGGGAATGCAAATCCAGACCAAGGAAGTTACAGGTCCATTGGAAGCTGGATCTTTTCCAATTGGACAGAAAAGAAAGAGAGGAAGATAGAATGCTTCCCCTGCCCTATAGGGCCACTAAATGAGAAAGTGCTTTGTTTCTTTTGATTTGTAAAATATGGCTATTGTTTTGTGGCCAAGTCAATAAAGTTTGATGGTCATTTCATGGCATCTGGTGAAAATACTGAGGGAGAATTTGGTTTTAGATTCATTAAGTCTGGTGATGGAATCTTTAGGCAAATTGGTGAAGGTAATTAGAATTTGGTGATGTAAATTAACTAAGTGACCAAACAATACATTCTGATGATGAATCATTGCTACTTCTAGATGGATTCAATATTATTTGGTGATGAATTAAATACTGTACTTACCATTTCATAATAAGCAGAAATTAAATTGCAGATTTTTTCTGAATTATTCATATTAGAGAATGTTTTTCCCATTTTAAGTTTATCTCTAAATGACCAACTTGAATAAGCTAGGAAATTGAGGGTCATGCATTACTATAATGAGGCCAAGGGCACCTAAGACCAATGACATCAGTGTAGCATTGATGACTGAGTGCCTCCTTTGTTTTATCATTGTCAAGCCTGAAAACGGGAAAGTAACTGGAATTGTAAAGTTACTGTGACTAGTCTGAAGTGGATTGCTTACGCAACAGGAATTTAATGTTTTTGAAGGCTTTTGGAGATCTTATAAGTAGTTCAGAAATTTTGCCCCAAGAAAAGTACTTTTAATTTTAAAATAAATCATGAATGAAGTTTCCTTCATTACCTGAAGTCATCACCATCACTAAACTGTTGGAATAGAAAGATTGAATATACAACAGTTGAAAATGGTGTGGCAAAAGGCATCTTATACTTTCTCATACTTTCTGATCTTCTGTTCTATTTTAAACCTAGAATATGTCATATAATTTTTATATGGTATTTACCTCTTCACTAACAGAAATTGAGTAATTATTGATGAAACTGATTAAACAATATCATTGGCAGAACTAAATTGAGAACTTACATGAAAAAAGAGCCAAAGGACAAGTTCACCCTTCTGAGATATTTCAGAAATAATAATTATTTCCTCATAGACTCCCATCATATGAAAAACCATTAATTATGCTCTCATATTCATATTCTATGAAGTATAGGGAAACAATGAGGCCCTTCTTTGATAGAGTAGGGCTCTGAGATTGTAGGGCACTCAAACTTGAAAAAAGAGCTTATGTCCATGAGGATGATTTTCCATTTTCTTAATTGATGGATCTTGATGTTTATTGCCAAATGTGACTTAATTATATGTTTTATCTCTTGCTGAAGAGAGTGGGTGGAGGAGTGAAATTGATTGATGATCCATATTTTTCAACCTGAACAATGAGGAGTGAACTTCTTTGAGTGTCTCAGGTTTCCATCAGGGCTCATGTTTTTACCTTCCATTTCCTTCAGGAGACAGTTGGTGAGGACAGCAGAGAGTATCAACAAGCTGCTGTGTCATGCTATTGTTGTTGCTTTCTTGGCAACAAATTTCAGATTTGAAGTGGACACATTAGTCAAGTCACTTCAAGTCAAATTTCCAAAGTGAGCATGTATTTCATTCCCCTGTCAAGCAGACATTTAAGAATTAGTTCAGCCTTAAGTGTTGATTTGAAACTGTGATTATTGTTCATTCCCCATAAGCTCATGCTTATGGGACTGAAAAAAAAATGAAAAAAAGTTGGGGGCTCTGGTGGTGATGTCTATCCATTCCTCTCCAGGTTTCGCACAGCTTTGCACATGACAGGCGGTGAACTGAAGAGGGATCGAGAAAGCTCAAAGAGTTATGCAATCCTCAAGATCCCTCTTTTCTCTTTGGATGAACTCCAGCGGATGAGTGGAACTCTTTCCAAAAGAAGAAGGAACTGAGAGAACTGTCAACTCTCAAAACTGGTCTCTGTTAGCATGTGGTTTTTCACACATGAGTGCTGAAGTTGTAATAAAGAAAGGGGATATTTCCCTGGATTTATATTTCTTGAAAGTTTTATCAGGATTGAATATCCTTTGCTAATCAAAATGGCAAGGTAGAAAAAATGATAGACAAGTGTTGGTCATTGATCAAACAGTTGCCTCTATTTGAACATTCTGAGGATCCTGAAGGCCATCATGTTGGGGAAGACAGGGGAGTGCAATTGATAACAGCCACGAAATGACCACAGGCGAAACCATGCTGACAGTTTCAGCATTTCAACTCCTGAATCTGGAATCTGGGAAAGAAACATCTGAGTTATGCATCAGTATACTTAACTGGATATAGCCGAAGTTACTCATCCCTGACTATTAAAACCCATCATTTTCATTCTGCTAAATTACCTATTTCTAAAACCATCAGCTTTTATTGAAGCTAAATAACTGGTACTCAGTGATGGAATTCCACACGTTCTTAAGCATGTTAGATGAGTTCTAATTTTAAACTTGAACGTAATCGATTTATAATTTTTAAGAATTTTCTTTTTGGACAATGTTCCAGGAAATTGTTTTCATGGAAGCAGGATTATTCAACTGAGTGCAACTAACATGAAACGGGAGTTCGTCACCCAAGTTTTTTTCTGAAATGGTGACAAGTTGGTCACATCTTCCACTGTCCTACTGATTTCTATCTGCAGAAATGTCTTATATCTTCACATTTCATAATGTATCCCTACCCCTCCTAATTTTTCTTCAAGACATGCATGTGCCATTGAGGTAGTTTGATTATAATTACCCTCAATGGGGGTTACTTCTGGAGATTCAGTCTCAGTTGAAGAGGAGATCCTTGTAGTAGGAGAGAAGGTAGCAGTTGTTAACTCTGCAAACCGTGTTCGTCCTCACCACCGTCGGCCGATCAGCCCTCTCAAAATTAGCCTTCACGATCTCAAAGTACTTCCCATCGCTGGGGAAGGAGGGGGAATGTTACCATAAAGAACCATTGGCATGGATCCAATGAAATGAAATGCATGAGAAGATGGACCTGAGGACAAGGCACCGGAGTCGGAGACACCTGACTCGAAGCGTATCGATGGCTTTCTGGCTCTTGTCGGAATGCCTCAGCGTCTCCGGATCCCAGCCGATGTCCAACCTTTCGAGTGCGGGGCAGCAACTGGCTATGCAGTCCATCAGTTGATCAATGAGGACTTTCTGGTGGATCTTCCCGCAGCATCCTTCGGACATCCCCATCACCAAAATCCTGCAAGAATGTCAGAATTAGACAACAAAGAGAAGGGCTTTGACGTGTGACCCCTAACGTAGAAGGGACGGGATGGGGAAAACGTAGGACAAAATGAGCCTAAGATCGAAAACGTTGAGCTGAAATTAAAAAAATAATAATAATTCAAGAACGAAAATGCCTTGGATAGAAAAGCAAAGCTGATTCAAGATTCTATTGAAAAAAGACCAGAAAAGCATAAAGCTGAACTTTATTTACAGCACAAGCGTCCTCGCAATCGAAAGTACGTGAAGTCGAAAAGTCAGTTTGCAAGAAACCTAGACTAAGACTGAAAAAAAAAACATTATAAAGGATAGTAGAGGACTGAAGAAACTTGCGACCAAATGACAGTAGAAGAAGAAAGTTCGTAATGTTCTCCCGATCAACAGGAGAGTCATGAGATAAGTTCGTTCTAATTTAAATGAAAGACCAAAATGAATGCCATAAGACTTGGCTTTGATCCCATTTAGTGGTAACTGTTGTAAGTGAGAGCTAAGAACATATGTGAGGGATAATTGAATAATATTATTTCTCCCGCTTCGTGCGTTAGGATGCAGATAACTCCGACAACCGGATTTGACTAAAGTGTAGGGCAGTGGTCGGCAAATGAATTTCACGGGGGAGCAGATGGCAAAATGCTGCAGGTTCGCGGGCCAACACCTATCAAGCGACATCAAAGGTTAATTTTAATGACGGTCTAATGTCAAACGTCCAGCCCAACGGCGACTGTCAGACCATAATGTGCAAAAGCCGGGCCTTCGCGGGCCGTATCTGCCCAGCGGGCCGCCAGTTGCCGACCACTGGTGTAGGGTCTACTCCCCTTCTGCATGAACTTCTACCCTTGGAACGTCAATTACATTCAAATAGCACAATGTGTCCAATAATTAGGTTTCCATTCCATGTAACAAAAATGACAGAATGAGAGCATATTTGTAAGATTCTCTATCAAATGTGCGCAATTGCATCGTTTTAAACCACCTCTTCCATAGAGAAAGGGTACTGCTCTACTGTGGGATACCATATTGGAAGGAAGTTTTCACAGGTACACAGGTGAGACATCCGCAGAGGTCTCACGCATTCCTGAGTTCGCGTCATCGCCAATATTAGGGGATAAAAGGGAAAAATCCTTATGCTTATGCTTTTGCTTATTTCTCAGGCGTGCCGATTTGGGTCACTGGGAATGTGCCAAATCTTGGCATATGCCCAAGTTAAGAAAAAAAAAAGAACTCTCTGAAAGAAACGATCAGGTTGAAATGCTTTCACGCGTAAATTACATATCTCCATGCATTTACAGTATCACTTCGGAAGATCTCATTTTTAATTGACATAAAACGCATTGGTCCATGAGCTTCAGCTCCACCTTGGGTGGTTATGGTAATAAAAGAAAGACAATGGACCTAGATTCTCTGTAATTAAGACGAGCCGCGCCACTTCTTTCTTGGTTTATCTCCACTCCTATCCTCCTTGCTGGCCTTCTTTTCTTTCACTCGTCACTTTGCTGCTCGTTCCTCCTTTTCTTCCTGTTTCTTTTTCATTTCCTCCTTCACGATGGAAGTCGCTCTCTGGATGAGAGTGCCAACAGTTTTCATTTCTTTCTTTCTTTGTTTTTAGCACTCGCTTCTGTACAGATTTTCAATTCACTCAGATGGAGCTGACTGTTTCGTTCTCGTTCCCATTTCTCCATGCACGCATTTTTCTCCTCCTCCCATTTCCAAAAGAAATGCAGAACAGCCATCCTCTCAGTTGAGTTGCACGTATGCTAAAAGTCAAATTCCAACATTACAAGTCATGGTTGATTCGGTGCAACGTCACTGTTGGCGTCCATAGCCACGTGACAGCCTGGCAGTTGCTTACCGGCATGATGGCAGCACGACGCGAAATCATTACGTTCTAACGGGGTATGCTAATGAGTTGGGAACCAGTTGGCTGGAAAGTCGGCCGGAGCCTATGCCATTTTTGAACCTGCCCCGAAGTACAGTTCGTTATGCCGTAGCGGGACGGAAGACTGAAAAACGCGCTGGTATTCCCCAGCTGTGTCGGGTTCAGGCTAACATACGTGCCAATGGTGTGCCCCAACGCCTTGGCCCGTCGGCTCACTGGTGAAACGTTCTCATGAAGCGTAAATCATGCACGCTTCATTGGATAGAACACAACGAGCTGAACGAGTTCAGACATGATTCACCCGTGTGCGGCGCCCAATTGTATGAATGTATCCCGTCCGAACCTTTCCTCTTTTTTCCAATAGTAGGGGAGAGTGGGGTAATACCGAACGGCGGGTAAATCCGAACAACGCGAAATAACCTATTTAGAATGTACTTGACAAACTGCCACTTGTGCTTCTGCACAGGCTTGGAAACCTATTGTGAAAGTTTCCGTGACTTGAACAGCTTTTCGAGGAGAGCAAAATCTTCATTTTGATCTCGATCGATATAAGGAACTGCTCGAGAAGGGTGGTCTTCCTTGGAGTAGCATAATTTTTGATCGATTCAAACGAATTCGCTTGGAAGAGAATCATTATTTTTTCGAAAAGAGACGCAGTCTGCGATATTCGTTCTCTCGCTAGTTCGTGAGAGCGGGCTTCTTGAATCTCAGCCTATCCTGAACATCCCGCACGAAGAGAAAGTAGTCCGGAGAGAGAAACTGAAGAATATCGCAAAAAGCATAAAAGCTTGGGTGCATCTGCCTTTTGATGCTTAGATGATTATGAGATGGTAATGAGGGTGGTTTTCGGAATAGTACACAGCAAAGTAGAAACGTACGAGGAGAGGTACAAATGTGAGAGGTACATATTGTGTCCCTCGGGTCTGCACGTGTGGTCCAGACGTACTCATGTGTACGTTGCTGACGCAGATGTCCGGGTTCTCAATGCAGTTCAATTGAGGTCTAGAACCGGTTTTTGAACCCCCTTAAGCCCGATGTGAATAGGGATAAGAAAGGTACACATGTGTACCTTTTCAACGAACGTATTTTAGGACAACGTTTGTACCTCATAACGTACAAAATGTGTACCTGACTGTATGTTTCTGCTTTGCTGTGTAACGTCACCGTTTTTTCCTTGTTATCTAACCTTCAACGAATGCTATGACTATTTGAGAACTGGGTGATGAGCTCCGCGCTTGAGAGTGGTCACACGAAAAGTGTATCGAGGGGATTCCCGGTGCTGCCATGGGATACGCGTGCGATTTCTGCTCATAAATACATTTAGAGACGCTGTTCAGAATTTTTCTCAGCTATTTTTTCTTTCCGAAATCATTTTTTAAAAACATAACTTTTGTTAAAAACCCTTGTTAGTCGCCAACGAGTTTGTATTTGATTTCAAAACGAAAAATCTTTAACAAACAGAAACTGATTTAAAGTACGGCTCAAGTCATTATTCCTGGCCCTCAAAGTAGATTTTCCTTGGGTGTTCGGTATTGCCCCATTTTCCCGACGCAAATCGGTTCAAACAATATATTCAATGGATTAAATACTTTTTCGATCTTTTACTAGATCTCTTTTTTTATTAGTAAAAGATCAAAAAGATTGATTTACTTTTTTTTCCTGTCTTGAGAAAGTCGGTCCTTCGACCTCGCTGTATAGAGACTCACCTAGCATTTCGCAAACTTGGCAAGATAGATGACCAGAGAGTATCTGTCACATGAGGGATGCCGGACAGAATGAGACCTTGCAGGTTGTTCCCGTATTTTGAGAGAAAGGTGTAGAGAGCATCCGAGGAGAGATTGTCGCAGCGATCTAAGTCCAGGGAAACCAAGCTCCCCGGGTTCCCATCTTTCATGTACGACATGAGGACCTGATTCCGGAACGAGAATAAATCATGGAAGCAGGCAATTGTGCGTCTGCTGAGAATATTTGAGGCATTACCTTGTCGTTGAAGCCATCTTGTTGACCGGCACTGAGCCACCTGAGCCCTGGAATCCTGAGAAGAATTTCCAGGAGGCATTCAGAAGACAGATCCGTAGCCGTGATATCCAATTCTTGGATATTGGTCTTCTCCCAATCCACCGACATCACGTATTCGCTTTTCAGACCTGGAGGAAAGAAAAATAAAAAGCTCTCTAGCGACTATGATAGAGAAAAGGGAAGGAAAATCCCAGAAACGAACTCGTCTGTTGCATGAGGAGGCAACGAAGTTTCCGCGATCGTTGAAGGAGGAGCTTTAGTGAAGAACCGGTGACCTTCGAGCAATAATTCATCGCCAGACATTCCAGCTGCAATGGACACATTCCCTCGGCAAGTTCACACAATCAAACCCCATTCCGAGGGGGATGGAAAACGTGGAATGCCATACTTGGATGCAGTTGGAGCTGAAGGCCTCGATGTGCCCGTCGTCCAAGAAGCTGATTCCGTAAAGATTCACAACTTGAAGGTTGGGAATCGCGGACTTTAATTTATGAATGTTTATCACTTCGTAAATCTCTTCCTCCTCCTCCTCCATTTTCTCGTACGTCCCTGCGAAATTGATTCTTGGCATGTAATGGCTGGGGAATTTTTGCATGTGAAGTCAGTTGTTTTGACTAGAGTGAATGATACCGATGAGATGTAAAACTTCGAGGCCGTTAATGAAGTTGTAAATTTTTCTCATGAATCCTTCCATGAAGATCACCTCCGACAGACAGATGCACATGGTACGGAGCTTCGTGGGGAAGGCCTTCAGGAAGAGAGAGGGGGAAAAAAATAATCATCAGGTCATCATCAAATGGTCGAGTCTAGACAGATAGTACAACGAGACAACGAACCTGGAGTTCGTTGAAATCGTGCATTTGCATGGCGGTGGAAAAGTCCAAGAGCATGTCAGTCAGGTTCGGACATTTGTTGGCTAATTCGTGGAGAACGGTGTGGGTGATGAGCTCGATCGGCAGTTCAATACTTCTCAACGATGGACCAAACCGAACACTGGGGAAACGAAATATAAAAACATTTTGGTATAATTTTCTTCACGTACTTCGTCTTGGTGCTAGAAGGATGTTTGCAGACGCTTTTCTTCATACATGGATGGGTTTTCCCAAATTATCAGAAACTAGGAGTTAAATCATGATTTTGGCGTATTGGTAGGTTAAGTACTGATATCAGAAATCAGACAAATAAGGACTGCGCTTTAAAATTTCCATGGGTCCTTTTTGAGTAGGTTTTGCTGATTTAAAAATTTCCGGAAACTTGTGGAATGCCGAGGGGAAATTTTCGGCTCTGAGGTAGCTCAAGAACATGGTGAGGGTAAATAAATGTTTAGTTGAAAATGTTCAATAGGAAAGTGATGAGAAATGTTACATTGAGAAAAGCTGTGTGCGCATGGGCTTCAAAGGTTGATTTATTGTTTCGGGAGGGCCTCACCATCTATCATCTCTGACGGTATAAACCCCTTCTTCCCCGGACGACAGAACCGGAAAGGTTTCACTTCTCCACGCGATTCCTATACTTTTTGGTCAAGAGAGTGCTGTTCTGAGCTTACCTGATGAGGGCAAGGAGGGATTCCAAGCTGGAAACGTGGAGACCTGAGAACTCGGGTCGTAAGGAGACGTTCTTCCATAGTCGGGAATCGTAGGCCACCATCCTCCATTTCTTGCACACCCTCGCGTTCTGACATATCACTTTGTGCGGGAGGTACGAAAAGATCTTCAGCAGGATCTTGTCCGGAAGCTTCTCGATCGTCTATCATCGGGAAAAATGTTAACTTAATTTTTTTTGTCTCGCTCACTCCTCTCTCTCACCCTCTCTCTCCTGGCTATTTCAGGCTGCAAGTCCGAACGATTTTCAACGTTGGCCCGTGGCCAATGTTCCTCTATGGAGTGGGAACCCGCCTTTCTTACCCTCTCTTTCATCTACATGACTTTTACTATAGTTTACAATCATGCAGCAACGAGTCAGACGCATTTTACGTACGTTCTGTGTTTCTGTTGAGCTGTTTTAATAATAAATAATTGAGAAATTATGCATTGTTGGAGAGTCCCGTTCTAGTGAACCACATCTGAATGCAAGGGTGGATCCAAAAATGCTACGTTTGGGGGGCAACCAGAGCCAAACTGGCGAGGAGCAGGGGAGGGGGAGAGTACTATGTCAGTGAAAGGGGTGAATCATCTACTGTAGCACAAGACTAGACCGATGAGGTAAGCAAACCGCCTAATCATCCAAACATATGCTGGTGTCCTGTGTACGGAAGCCATAGAAAGCAAAAAGAAAATACATGCATACATGAGATTCCGAGGTTAAAGCGATCCGGATCCGCCGCTTTCCGATTTTCCCCTAGTTACCAGGCGTGTCTAGGAAGCAGTCCCATCCCAGGTAACACTTGCAATTAAATAAGCATTGAATCAGCACTGTATCAACAGCCAATAAATGTCAATTCAACGTGATAGGTGGGACCTCTGTGCTTCTCTCTAGTACTGCAGCGTACGTGTGGAAAGACGGCTATCAGTGAAATGTCTCGAAAAAGCAATCCCTCTTCCTGCTGGGGATGTCAGATAATTTTTTTGCTAACAACTCTTGTGAAAATATTCATCACCATGAGATGGAGAAGGAACTTGAGAGCCGGAGACACTGAGACGAGAATCGACACGGTACCCTTGGCCAAATTGGAACCTCATCTGGCATGCCACTGTGCCAGTGTAGTTGGCACGAAGTCGATGTTAATGCTTTTTTATTTTTCAAGCATAGATGTGATCACAGGATCATGGGATGGAAGGGATTTAGGTATTGTATGCTTAACTTCGCTGACGAAATCGATCCTACTGAATACCTCACATATATTAAATGGTCTCTTCAGGATTTGGCAGGGAGAATAGGGAGGAAATTTTTTCAAGAGCTCACCGTTCTGATCTTTTTCCCGGCACCAGAATTGATGTCTTCGTGGGCAGATATGTACTGAGCCGCCTCACTTGTCAACTGATTCCACATAGACATTCGCCTATCCATTTTTACAGCTGTTATATGCACGCGAAGCACGAAAATGGGGAGAGGGAGGTTTGGCACAAGGAGGTCATTGCATAAGCTTGGGTCTCGTGCCAAAAAATAAGGCGAACGGAGCGCCTACAATACATTTCGACGTGACGAGAAGTTGTGACACTACAGTGCGCTCTATTTTTCTCGAGTCGGTGATGGTAGTTTGGAGTCGGTGCGCAAGGTGTCGCTGGTGACGACACCCGCCTCCTGCCGCTCTCCTTATCCCGTTACGCATCCAACGAAAGTCTAGCTGGAAGGAGCAAGGGGAAACGACCGAGAAGTCCAGGATCCACGCAGTCGGCCATGTCTGGAGGGCACACCACGCGAGTGCTCCTCCTCCCATGTGTTCCCCCGAAGTACGAAGTAAATAAATGACGTATTGGCAGAAGTGGGTCAAAGGAATGTGTGGTTGGTGCCGGGAAAAGAGGAGAGAGAGCGCGAAGGAGGCCTAGCAGAGCTGGCTTGCATCACGTAAGCCACGCGTTGGATCATCCCATCCTGAATGAATCTTCCTCTCTCGCAGTGCCCGTTCAATGAGTCGAGCGGAGTTGGAGGAATGGGATTGGGATTGGAAGCCCATGATGATGGAAGCAGACCCGTGGGCCTATTCCATAATCGGTGCTCTGATTGTGGGTCTCTCTGGTGTTGCCCCTATCCTGTTCATCTCCATTCCTGCTATTCCGGACTCCAAGAAATCCACCGGTGAGTCCCGCCCCTCCATCATTCAAGAATGATATTATTTTATGCCGATGATGGTACAGAAATATCCTCTGATTGAACTCAAAGAGTTGGGTTCAATGTAATCGACGCCAAATCCGCCTACACCTTTTGTGCTCATTATATCTATATCCATCGTTAAATCCGCCTCACCCGAGAAAAGTTTGACCCAAGTTTCTCGAAGACCTCGAGGGATGTACAGGCATTTGAGAAATGTATGGGATCAAAACTTCCAGAATGCCTCGAATTTTCTGGAAAAATTAATGCGACTAATAGCCGTCATGACCTTGAAATACTTGCGAAATCGGGTGTCAGCACTCTGAGATCCTGCTTGAGTTTTCGACTTTCAGGAATCATCTGCCTTGCCGAATTTTTTATATTTCATTCAGAGAAACCTTATTTTTATTTTCACAGCGTAGAGCTCGTAATGACGACTGGCATTCCGAAGGAATAGGGACATGTGTTCGTGGCACTACGGATCTCCTTGTAGTCGAAGTTTTCGGAATCATAAAGTCCCACTGCATTGTCCACCACGGAAAGGAAAGTAGTGAGGATGTAACCCACTTTTACTTTCACCATAGAGAACGTGGGAATTTAATGCATGCCGATCCATCAACAAAGTATTACCAAATACTAGATGCACTCTAGGAGCAAATGCAAAAAGTAACGATTTTGCACAGTTATCATTAATCATTGGAAGGCGAAGCAGGCAACGATGTTTGTGTTAGGTTCGAAATCAATGTTTCCATGCAGGGGAACGTGCGAATAAAGACGTCATTTCAAGGCTTACAACGCACACTTTCATGGAATCCGCAAAGAACCATCCATGTTTGGATTGGATTATAAGCATGAACTGAGCGCGAAAGAAAAAGTGTGCGAGGAGTGAGGGAGGGGTAGGGAGAGTAAAGTCACAGGAACTCTGGGGCACTGTTCCCTTGCATTGCATGCATCTTTTCCTTCTTCCTTTTGCTTTTATTATTTATTTTTTTTAACAAGAAGGGGGGTGGGGGAGTACGTGCCCCCTCTAACTCCCCGACGCAGTGCCACTGGTTCCAAGTGATCACCTTTCACTAGAGCAGAGATGATAATGAGATTTAAAAATGACTGCTCAACTGGAATGCACTAGAAGTGGAACGTGAAGTTCTCTCGAGGATGAACAAAGGAGAAGCTGATGCTTTCTACAGATGAGAGATGGGAAAGGGACGTCAAGGCCAATGCCTGTTCCATTCGATAGCGTTCCCACCCCATCACCGTCTCATGAAGGGGAAGAAACGAGAATTATATGAAGAGGAGAGAGGGGAAACCCTTTTATCGCCATCCGACAATACATTTCTGAGGCGTTTGGCCTCACATTCGGACACACCGTTCTTTTATTTTTTTTTGCCTGGGGGTTTCCTCCCGGCATATGGTTAGTAGGCTTACATCAGGTGATGGTGAGTGAGAAAGCGGTCAAACGGGCTCGGTTAACGGATGACCGTCTGAGTTCAAGTCATTTACTGGTTGATTAGTGATACTGAAGCCTGCGTAATAGTGACACACAGAGGGTTTGTTGGAGCAGGGGGGGGGGGGACTTACCAGGGAGCTTAGCTTTTGATGCCGAGATGAAGTGACGACAGCAGCGGTGGACTTGGACGTGGGAGCGCCCTGACCGTCCTGCAGGACGGCACTGGATCCTCGGCGTTCTCTCAACAAAGCTGCGTCCACTGTTAACTCCATTCTACGCTATCCCTTCCTCAGTTTTCCTTTGGAATGCTTCCGAACAGGCAAACTCTTTCTTCTCCTCTCCTTACACACTCTCGCTCGCTCACTCTTCCCTTCTCTCTCTCGATTGCACTCGGACTCGGAATACTGCCAAGCCGGATTCAACTGTAACCGGAAACTATTTTAATGGTTCCTGCAACACCTCCTCTTCCACATGCTGCAGCCATCTCCCGACGTGGAAGAGAGGAACGGATGCCACGAATACCTACTCGGTTACAGTGCTTAACCTGCACCATTTTTCATCGTGATAGACTCGTCGCAAGGATCGACGAGCCGTCGTGGAGTGATCCGTTTCGCATTCCATTTCAAAGCCTCGTCAATTAAGCGAGCTTTCTCTAATAAGACACTAATTTGTTAGCGTTGCGTGAGAGATGTGAATCCTCCTGACGTGTAATTTTAATAGCACGCTCACAAGTAAATTACCTGCTAGATTACGCTCAAGTAGCTTAATAGAAGCTTCCGATGAACCACGTCGTTTATCCTTTAGGATGGGTACTTAAAGCTTAGGTCATTGGATAAGCTACTGTGTAAGGGAAGAGGGAGAAGTAGCGAAAGAGATTATGGGATATGAGACTTCGAAACGAGGTTTTCCTGCTGGAGCCCTCCAGAAATAATCCGAGTTGACGTGAAGATAATTTCTCCCTCGAGAAATTATCCAAGCTCAAAATTCCCCTTAAGCAGCGGAGCGGTGACGCGAAGTTGGAAGGTAAAACATGGGAGAAGGCAGTCAGCCTTTTAGACCACGCTACTGGGAACCATAATCACAGGCAGAGATGCTAAATTTCTTCCTAATAAAGAGGGATGCTATTAGTGAGGGAGACGCTGTGGACGGTTCTGTTTCCAGGGTTGTATAGGCGAAATCACAGGGATCATAGATACGCAATATCTCTATGCACATGGTTGGCATCTACCATCTTCCGATGAGCAAGGCAATCCTCTTAGTCTCTGTTCCCAATTCAGACCCTTAGGCAGCAAAGAGGCCCAACATTCCCACCCCCCCCCCCCCCCCCCCAATAAGATAGACGATAAGATATAACGCGTGAAACATATTTCGAATTCTCCTTACTTTTTGAAAATTGAACTCAAATCTTAAAAAAAAAAGTATGCTAATTTTTTTAATTTGCTTAGCAAATTTTTAGTTTCCATGCCTCTTAGTTTCTGCAGGGCAGGATGTAGCCTGCCCTAACCTAGGTTTAGACAAATTCTGAAATAGTGTGTGAATTGTGAAGTTATAGTTGGATCTAGCAAGCAACTGGAATTCCAGATGCTTTATAGGAGACTGTCATGAGAATATGGGGGGGGGGGGGGAGAAGGGGAATTAGGATACGAGATTAAAAGTAACCTTTACAAACATGTCGTGTTCTCAAGCAAACTGGAAACTATTGGACAGGCATTATGTATCGTCGGGTGAAAATTATATTTTTCCATGTCCATATTTGCCATTTTAACTCTAGCACATTTACGCCATTTTCACATCATAAGCGAAATAATTTTTTGACGTTGCAGGTCGCACATTAGATATCTCAATGTTATATGCAACTTGACAAACCTAGTACACTATTTGAACGCAGCTGACTCCAATGAAGTTTATACTCAGAATTTCAGTTTCGGGCATAGAAAATGTAATTCTCATTTGACAAAATGGGTGACGAAGCTAGAAATCTGGGTGTTCTGCGCCCTCTGTGCCGACAAAAACACGATTCCTTTCTTCTGATTGGTCGGGCTATGTAGCAGGAAATCGAAATGATTTATTCCGTAGCCTGATCGCACAAAAAAAAGAGAAGTTCATGGCATACATTGAAAGACGTCTCCCGGAAGAAGGCTCAATGCTTCATTATTTACATTACGTGTACGTATTTGGAAGTCAGGCCAGGCCTGTTTACTGGCTCTGTGCCCAAACCAGACAGCAACTCATGAATTTCAAGGGAATCCCCATTAGATAATAAAAAATATATATTTTTATAAATAAAAATTAGTCTGTTTTTCCTGCTCTCTCTCCTCACCAAAACTTTTCATTCTCACATTTATCCCGAGGGGTACAAGAAACGAAATCAATACCAACGCTTGTGTCTCCTGATAAGGGAGCGAGTGGGACGAAGGAATGTGCTGTGGCCTGTGTGAGCCCGTGAACTTTCACCTTTAGTCTTGCCAAAGCCGGTATCCCGCAGATATGCTGTCACGTCTTTCGAATCGCACGCAAGAAACCATCGCCATCTCTGATCGATGCACCTGGCATGCAAAGGACGTGAGAATGGCGCGGCATGTCTTTGGTTTTCTTACTTCGTTTGATGAAGCTGTTATTCAGGAACGAACCCTCTCCTCGTGTCGATGTCATTGCATGAAGATAAATATGAAAGTGGGTCGTTATTAGGACATGAGTTAAATGACACGGTTTAAGAATAGGTTCACGACCGAGGTCACGTCGATTATGCTGTCGCCTCCATGAATCACCTGCTATATATTCCGAACATTAGCAACTGTCAAAATTTGCGTTGGAAATTGAACAGGTGCATATTATCATCATAGGCCTGATCTATTACCTTGTCGCTCTTCAGAGGTAAGTGAGATGATGACAAGAAGGGATAAACAAAATAATCTGTGTTTTTTGCCCTCACCTCTAGTAAAAACTCGCTGAAAATTAGAATCGCAAATTTTGCACATAGTCGGTGAATTTCTCTAAGAGAAACACGGGGAGGACAGACACACTGAAGCGTGAAGATCACTGGACACATCGCTTTTCTCCTGGTCTGCGCTCTACAACTTTTGTGACGACTGTAGAATTAGGACTGTGGACTGGAGCCTTGTTGTCGTTGGCAAAGCTCCTGTGGAAACCCCGGATTGGATACAAGAGAAAAAGAGAGAGGGAATGCAAAATGGCTTCGCAGTTAAGCACAGCTCGGGTGCTCAAGAACGGTCTTTCTCGTCATCCCTCATGTACCTTAATTTTGTCACTGTTAACGACTTCATTCCCATGCAGTTTTTTTTCTTCTAAGGAAGGAATGGAGCAAGAGGGAAGCTGTTGCGTTTCGCTTCACGACTCCTTTCCACTTGTCGCTCCTTCTCACTGCATGTCGAAATGACGCCAGAGAAATTTATCCCTTGTCACTCAGGTTTTATTCCAGCATGAGAGGAAATACGTTCTTTGGACGTTGATGTTGCAGGAGATGCACCCGTGTTCGGTAGAACCCTGAAGTTGCTGCTGAGTTTTGGGGTTGGGGGACTTCTCGGTGATGTCTTCTTACATCTCTTGCCCGAAATCTGGAGCACCATGAACTGTGAGTTCATTATGCATCGGAGGAAAAACCAGACTTATTAAATTTAAAAAGTAACTCTATATCGTCGTGTGTCGCCTTGAGACGCGAACCACATGTAAGGCACATGGCTGACATTCATCATAAACATAACCTTCACCTACTATGTGTCATCGCCTGGTGTATACAAAAATGACAAAAAAAATAAAGGCATCAATATGTACTTTATGACCTCTCGCAGAATGAAATTGTCAATGTCACACGTGGAATGTCATTTGTCCTTGCAGTGAATAAGCACGAGGAGCACAAGGAAGTGGGGATGTGGGTGATAGCTGGGATGCTCTCTTTCGTCTGCCTTCAAATGCTTCTCTCCCATTGTCCTATAGAGGCTTCTAACTCTCTCAATGACTGTGATATCCGCCGACAGATCCAAAGACACGTAATGCCGAAAGGGAAATATGCTCGCTTGTCCTTGGAATTGATGCCTGATGGAAGCTGGTCTTGGTTTTGGTGCAGGTGACGGGTTATTTGAATCTCCTGGCGAACAGCATCGATAATTTCGCACATGGACTGGCAGTTGCAGGCAGCTTCCTAGTCAGCACGAAAGTTGGGCTTGCCACTACATTTGCCATTCTCGTCCATGAAGTTCCCCATGAGGTCGAGCCACTCTCACTTTTTTTCTTATCTCATCACCCATATTCCTGTGCTAATCACCAGAGCCCAACGCAAAAAAGCAGTGCCAATTTGCCAAGTGCATGTGCCTAGCTGTTAACCCTCCTTGCAAATTGAATACCCCTTTGGATCACGGACACCACGCATGATGGCAGAGGATAACGCAGACTGTTAGCTTTTTCTCCATTTAAAGAAAAAGTAGATGATTTGTAAAGTTTCTGATTCAATGCAACAGACAGAACTTATCTTCAGTAAGAAATGGGAGGGGGGAGAGAGATTTTGAATGCCCTGATGCTGACATCTATTCTGTCCACTGCAATCCTGACAAATTCTGCTCGGTGTCTATTGCAGCTTCACAAGACTGAATGCATTGCATTAAACATATATTCTATGTAACAGGCAATCATATCTCGGCATGAATGGGAGCTTCCTCTCGCTTTTCTTTTTGGTCCACGACCACTTTAGCTCCAACGAACTCTCATCCTGTGAATACAGACACAGACGTAACTTGTGGGGAATGAAAGGACACATTCCATCCCCCCCCTTCCCCCCCTCCCCCCCTTCCCTCCCCCCCCCCCCCCCTCCCAGTCCCTGTTTCGTAATAAAGACCTGGAAATCATTAAGTAGTGGAGCAAAAACATAAAAAATTAAATAGGAGCAAATGGATATGAACCCTTGTAGTGCCGCGGGAACGAAATATCGTCGATCAAGCCTATGAATTGGCCGCGTGTCACTAAAAGAGTTGACTTCAAACTTTAGCTGGTCTGTACTTGTGCTTGTAAAATATACTGTTCCGGTAAGCGATAAGGGAGATGGTCAGGTTTTTTCCATGATATAAAGTTGCATGGTTAGGATTTTTATTACTCATTGCCCTCTCTCTCACGGTACTTCACGCAGTCAAACTCAAACTCGTTCCTTGGGGTCTCAATAGTTGTCCGTGTAACCGATTAACCGATAGATCTTTTCTAACCGGTTATTAAAAGTCGGTTTCGATTAACCGTTACGGTACATCCCCCTTTTCGGTTCCGACATAAAATGGGAATAGGTGTTCCTTCTAAATCTCTTTTCCTTTAAAATTAAAATTAAAATTTCCCCTCTTTGAATTATAATCTTGGAACTTCTGCTAATTCACGATTAACCGGTTAGTGTTCATTAGTCATTGAATTACCTAAAAATTGCAACCCCTACCCGCAGCTATGCCAAGCTTCATTGTATCGCTTCGACTTTTTTTATTTAAGAAAATCGCTTGCATGTGGCAAACCCTGTTCTATATCGTGGGAAAATCTCATTCCGAATAAAGCCATTAAGCTGGCCGTGGTACTCCTGCATAATTTTTTGCATAAAGATAGCTTTGACCTGCACCTTTTGATGTCGAGAGTGCAATAAGAGAGAGGAGAACGCAATAATTTCACCTTAAGAAAGGGCCTTGAGAACATCAGTCATGCGAATCGCAAGTTAAGAATCGAGACGAGATCCCTGCATTGATATCTGGTGTGCTTGTGCGTGTACGTGCAGGTGGGTGATTTTGCAATCCTGATGAGAGCGGGGTTCACTCGTTGGGATGCAGCCAGGGCACAGCTCCTCACGGCTTGCATAGGGATTATGGGGGCTCTGGCCGCCCTCTCTATTGGATCCGACAAGGCCGGTACGTCTAGTCCTCCATTCCTTCACTTCGGTAGTCCCGTCTCATTTACGCTCTGTGGATTATACAGACCCGGAAGAAAAGGTGAAAGTACTCGGGAAACGTGCATAATATCTCCCTGGCATCTGTTCTGGAGCTGAAGCGTGAAAAGTAACGGGTGCACGTGTTCTGCCGATGTGCAAAAATGCCAAAGTGGTGTTGTATGTCCAGTTTGCGAATTTCTCTCATCGCCTCTCGCTGGACGGAGAGAAGGCCTGGAACCCTGGCCTCTGAGTTCAAGGGAATCTAGAAATTCTTTATGTAAAATTGAAAAAGCCTCCTCCATCGCCATGCCTTCGTCAACAGCAGCATTTCTTAACCAGGGTCACGTGAACCCCTAGGGCTCCGTGACGGGGCTCCAGGGGGTCGCGGAACCTTGCCCAGAAAAGAAGAAATAAATTGGGGGGAAAATCAGAAAGCAGCTGGTGATAAAGAAAACTTCCTTTGGAAGGATTAGCAAGTGAGCATTGAGAGATGGTTGTGGGCTTAGAAGCAACTAAATCTGCACCCTAGGAGGTTGTTTTTTTTTTTCTTCTTCTACTGAGTCCATCGTTACCAGGTATTGAAGTCAATGCGCATCTTAGGACTACAAAATATTACTATTTCGGCGAAGCCTCGAACCTCACTGAGATTTAATGAAATCTCCCATGGAATAGCGAGTTTTCCTGAAGTGAATTTTCCAAAGCCAAAATCCCGACGAGACGCCATCAATTTTAGGAGTCAAAGATAGTTTGAAAGTTTCACTACGTTGCCGCGCAATTAAGATGAAAATGTCACTTCATTATTTTCCTCACCTGAGGGATAAATGAGGATCATTGAAAGTGCTAAGCTTTTTCAATTTTTCCATGTCCATCCAGACAAGATAATCAATTATGATGATCTTGCCTGGGAAGCCTTTTGCCAAGGTCATCAGACTGGTCCGAGCAAAGTATGAAATGAAAGAAAGAACTTTCTCGTATGGAATACGTGAATTGGTAGCCCCAACGGTTGATGTCATGGGTTCCACCGATCCGGAAAATTGGAACGATTCCTGACCTACGTAGGACGGAGGAGGAATGTTGAGGGATGGGGACAAAAGGACATACTGCCTGTCGATTGCGTTCGATCGAATAATATCATTCCATCGAGTTGGACCTGATGAAAAAGATTGTCAATCATAGATAAGTGAGGTTTCATAGGAGCTCAAGGCGATTGGGCGAAAATTTCCTTTGTATGTGGTCTACTTCGCTATTCATTCATATTAATGGCTTTTTCGCTGTCACCAACTTACGTTTTTCTTATAATGAATGGGAGACGGACTAACGATGTATCACGAGGGTTATGGGATTTTTAAATTCACCTCGGGCAGGGTGTCTGGTGGCATGAAAGGATAACTAGTAATCTGTTTAGCAGACTTCAGGTTCTTTATATGCATCGTTCAAACGCTTTTTAAAATAGTCTCATATTTGTTGCACCCACATAGATAACATCTTCACACGATTGTGAAGGGGGTCCGGCGCAGGTCCCATTATTCAGGGAAGCTTCCACAGTTAAGATGGAGGAACGCTGCTGTACTGCTATAAAATTGTTCTATTGCCCTTGACCTCTCTCTTCAGAGAGAGAATCAATGAGGGGATATTCCCACGTGCACCCGCACACGATCGTGCGTTTTGTGCAATATTTTTTTGCTAACAGTAAAGAGGAACAGAAACTTCAGCGGCGTGATTCTTCCCCCCCCCTCCCCCCCTATTCCGTCCATACACTATCCTGCTTTAATTTCTTTTTGCGATAAATTTAAAAAGAAACTATTCCATTACTGCCGGTAACGTTTAACATAGTGAATTTGATGGACATGGCATTACATAAGAGTGCAACCTGTTCAGGTACCAGAATCGCATTGAAGTGAACTGAACAAAAAAATGAAGTCTGGATTAATCTTCTTGATATGATTGTCTTGGCAATGCAAAAGAGACCTTTCGTGGATGAGTTCAGAGGTCCCACTTTTCTGGAGTAGGCCTATATGATTGCGTAAGGAGGTCTGTGGATGTGCAAGGATGCCGCCGATTCTTCGCTGCCTCAAATCTGTGCCGCTGGCAAGATAAGGTTGAGAACCGCTTTTCTAGGTTATATAGAACAGCTGAGAGTGGGGGGAGAGTTCTGTCGTGAGCTGGAATAGAAGGAGGTGCGAGACGCACGAGTGGCCATATGGGTTCAGAGCTGGGATGCGTTCAGGTAAAGGGACGACAGACCGTAATACAAATTAAAATAATAAAAACTGACTGCAAGATCAATGGGTCAATGTGTCACAGGGCTGGATGTTTAAAGTGAACCCACTCAGGTCATTTGTCATGCTCAGACGGGATATAGATATATGTACAGGTAGGTATGTATGTAGATACATACAATATATAGGTCTACTACGTTATAAATATGTGGCGGCAAAAGCAATCAGTATCTTCATTGCAGCAGCGATGTCGCGCTTGGAATTCTTCCATTATAGATACTCTCTGAATGAAATTCCTAGAATACACAATATAAAGTCAATTTTGATCGTAATAGACTCATATTGCGTATTCCTGGTGCACAATTTAATTAGGAGCGTAGGCTGAAGTCACCAGTGTTCGGGAAAGCGGTTCTTCGGGAGAGATTTGCTGTCTACTCCATAAAGTGCTCCTCGATTACACCAGTAAAAGAGAATTGTAGCTTCCTGGCTTTCTTGCGCTCCTTTGGTGAGAGACCGAAAGAAAAAGCGGTGGACACTCGAGGCACCCTTGTCTACCCCTCGCTGCACCCCAGGACGCCGCCCCACCCAGGTTCAGAACCGCTGACCTAGGGCATTAGCGGTATTTTCATCTTTCGGAAAGTAGTTATCTGAAAAGGGAGAAATGAAGATTTCAAATTGGTGAGCAATCTTGGGTAACCTGCAGAGGGGGGACAATGGTTGTTCGCCACCCTGTATACGCTCAGTTGGTGGGATCCAGAATCGAACCCCTTTTGGTGAACGTATGAGAACTGCCTCTGGACATTTATGCGGTCTCCTGCCCCGCAATGGAACGCGGACTTTGACTTACCTCGTACAAGCTGGGGCTCTCAACTGAAATAAATGAGAGCTCGATAAAATGTCAGAGTGGCTTCTGACCCGATCAGTTCCTGCCGGAGCCGGAAACAAGTAACGTGGTATGTTGCAACTCGTGTGATGTATCTTGTATGTCCTTCGCAGAGAGAGGGGCGTGGTGGATCTTGCCGTTCACATCGGGAGGATTCCTCACCGTGGCTTTGGTCAATGTCCTTCCAGATCTCCTCAAGGAATCCACTGACCTTTGGGAGGCCATCAAGGACTTCTCCGCTTTACTCTTCGGCATTCTAGCTATGGCGCTTGTCACTCGTTGCCTCGATATCTCCCCGACATGAGGAGAAATAATAAAATTATACTTTTATCCCCCATTTGCCTTCGAAAATACTGGCTCGAGTCTTCGTCATCTGAGTCTTCGTCTTCGCACCGTGAATATCCGGGACGTATGCTTTCTATGCTCGAAATCCTGGTGAGATACCTAAAGTGATCAAAGTGAATTCTCTGATGCGCCTTCGCTTGTCCACGATATCTACATGCGGCCTGTATATCTTCGTGGAACGCTCTGAACTAAAGACAGGCAGAGAAAGGCTTGGAGGAAGTCCCTTACTTGCAGTGATGGATATTACTTAACCAATTACGAGTGGAACTGGTTTGCTTTCACGTAACTACCAGGTACAACTATTATTGTCATAAGCCAGTTGACAAAAATAAAGTAATACCCATAAATCTCGAGCGTTGATTTTAATATATATTTATTTAGTGTTTTTGCAGTCAGGAAACTTAAGAAATGTACGGAGGCCTCTCTCGCCGTCCGGCCGACTAACTACACCCAACCTGTAGAAATGACCGTTATACATTCCTCTCTGCTCATGCATGAAAGGATCCTCCGTAGATTAATCATGCCGGTATCTATCTTCCCTAGCTCTTTGATGATGCCTTTCCTCCCTCTCTCTTTAAACAGCTCATCTTTCTTTTCTGATGTCACTATCAAGATCTAAGTCTCTAAATGCTCTTTCTGACCTTTTCGACTTTGGTAGGCCAGCAGCAAGGCGTCCGGGCATAAACTTATATCTAACACGGAAATCTAAATGTCTTTTTTTTTATTAAATAGGACTACCGTCAATGAAAAGTATTTTTTACATAGGGAAGGGGAGCTTTAATTTCCGGAATCGAGAAATCGTCCCCAATCATCCTTATCTCCTGATGGCTAAGTGAGGACGGAGATTTATTTGCAACTAATATGCTTACAACTGACGACGCCATCTTGACTCAGAAGTCAGAATGAGGAATTCAGGGTGGCCCGTCTGAAAAATCGTCTGGGTTTGTAAACGGGCCGCGACGTCATCTCAGTCGACTGTGGAAACGACTGCAATCTAACAAAAGCAATCCACCATCCGTGAACTCGTTGTCCCGCTCCTCCGCGCATCACGGCGTACCGCGTAGCGGGACTTTGTGCCGAGCGGCAGTCGGCTGTTGAAGGAAATGAGCCCCTTCGCTGAGTCGGGTGACGTCATACACGACGGCATCGCTCCCAGAGAAACTCAGGGGAGTCCAGTGCTTCAGGGAAAGCCGAGTAGCGTTCAGTTATTATGGCTGTTTCCGAATCGCTTTGGAGAGCGTTGCTTCTGAGTATTAATATATTGTCAAGAAACAGCACGATACCGCTGTAGGCTGCAGGTCACGTCCATGAGTGACAGCTAGGGATTGGACTTTCATGCTCTTATGTATTCATAAATTTCTGTTGCAAGAGAACTAAGATTCAAAACATAAACATTTGATAACTATTATCTTGAGATCCGATTTCGATTTTCTGAAGTGTTTTTCCCGTTTCATTCCTTTGCCTCGAGAGTTGTCGAAGCCATTCCAGCATGAAAATCCTGTCCTTAGTGATAGCAAAGCACAGGAAAAAGCATTAAAGAATGCCAAACCTCACTCGTCTTGTTTTATTTTTTATTTTTTGGCTTCGAGTGAGCTCGGGATGAGTTAACATACCAGTGCGCTGGCATTTCAACTCCAGCGACATGTTGAGTTTGCACGAAGACGCAGAACCTTGGACCTCGTGGGCTTGAGTTGAACTGGCTCGTAGCTCACCAGAGCCCTGGATCAGCTTCACGGGTCACTTCTCAGTTGCACGATGGCAGAAACGTTAGTTCTGCTGGCGTCGGTAGGTTCAAAGGGAAAAAATGATTGCCCTTATGAGGGTGTGTGGATTCATCCCGAAATCACCACGCTGGTCATTCTTCGATGCTTTCCCCTCCTGATTTCATTTGAAGGCATGCCGTCTGTCGACGGCAGAATCAGGAGTAGAACCTACGCGTAGTTACGCGTGGTTTGGTCGTAGGTACCTCTTTGAGTCTCTGAAACCGGTGAGCTAATACATAAAACTATACCCATTTAAGAAAGAAACCCATGGTTGAAATATGATTATATTGTAAGTACAGTTCAATGAAGTTACTACGCGTAGCTATTAATTCAAGAAGGGCGGAGCGAACTTAAGTGTTTGACACCATTTTGCTCTTGAATATGCACGATCTATATCCGCTTGTGCATGAATTGAAGTTTTACCTAACCACCTAGTAAAATGCATGTGGATACCATTCGTTCAATGAAACCCGATGCTGTGTCGCGTAATGCTGATTTCGATAAAAGGGCTAGGTTCTCGTCAATGGGTAGGCACTCGTTGAAGTGCAGTACAGCCGTCAATGATGTCGAGACTCTCCGAGGCGGATTGCAATATTGCTATTAGGAGATAGGCAAGCCGCTTACGGGCAGCAGATTCGAGATCACGGCAACCAAGTTATGGATTTGTACTGCAAGACCAGAACAGACAACCTTGTTTGCAGTGACGTCACAGGCATAGGGTATGCTCTCAAATGCGTTGAAGAACAGTCGTATTCAGTGATAAGTCCCGGTTTCTTCCGAGAGGTACTGATGGTCGCACTAGGATTATGCGTTTCTTTTTTGAGTGAGTATACTTTGCAGCAGTGGGCTGCTAGTTTGTAAGTTAAACTGGTCCGGAAGTAATTACATTCTTCCTCCCGATATTTTGTACCTCCCCTCTCGAGATTTCACCAGGATTTTCAATAACTGGACCCTCGAACATGAGGTCTGGCGCAGCAAAACGAGTCAGTCGAACGTGCTACGCTCAGTCACCCAGGCTTTCAAACGGGAATACCCACACCTTCGATTTCCATGGAGATTCCAGAAACATCCTCTTTCGGAAAGACAAAATAAAAATTATATACACGACCTCTTTTTATGACCCAAGGCTTAAGTAATATGGGAACACTTGAGGAAGAATGAGAACATCTGAGGGGGATGCAGTACTGACACATTTGGAGGTGCGACCGGCACCTCGCCGAAGAGGAGTTCTCGCCAAGCCACGATGGAGTACCCGATGAGAAACAAGACGACGATTAAGAGACGGGAACAGATTGGGGCTACATTCAAGAGAAGATGGAAGGCCTAAGCGCACGGTGTCGAGTTTCAAGGTCTTCCCCCGCTTTTCACCATCTTTTCCAAGATTTGTCTGCGTATTGAGGCGCTCCGTTCTCCTCGTACTCGTACTCGTCTTCTAATTCTTCCAGCGTCCTCTCCTCGGTGCATCTCGAGTCCATGTTGCATCCAACTGGCAAGAACGCAGCGAAAAGGAAATAACGAATCGTGAGAAAAAGAAAGAAGCACGCACGAAAGCCACTCGGCGAATCGACCGACATGGTTGGCAGCAGACGCCGTTCGCAGCGCAGCGACCCTGATTCCCTTCTCCGCAGGGCTTGGACTTGTTGTCGCAGAGGACGGGGTATTTCGCCTCCATTTCGCAGTTCTTGATGGTAGGGTGACTCATGAGGCAGCCGATCGACGGACCGCAGCAGATTTTCGGGCCGAAACACCTCCCGGCCCCACCGGGACCGCAGGCTGCACACTGTAAAAACAAAAATAATAATAACGGTTTGGATTGGAACCATTTCTGGCTCTGCGGTGAAACTTTTATGAAACCATTTTTATGGAATCAAAGAAACACCACCTGAAATAGTTTCATTCCTTGGAATGGAATACCTGGACCTCAGGCCTTTGCCAAGAAAGATTATCAACGCTATCATCCTGGACATTCTCACAACCACTCCGACGAGTGACAATTAAGCTAGGATCGATACAAATGGTCCTAGCTTGCACACGACATCGACTCGCCTCGAATCCTTTTCTAGATAGTTGGAGAGCTACCGAGTAGTTATGGGTCAAAGTATCAAATGGTTTTGTAAGTGAGCTTAAAATAATTTTAAACGGTTGCTCGAGCACCTGAAACCGCTTTAAAAATTCTAGTACGAACCGTAACTTTTTAACAGTCCCCATTGCATCCCACAATTCCATCAGCTGCGACGAAGAACGGCAACACGGATTTCCGGACGGTGGTAGGTCGTGTCGTACCTGTCGATCGAAGAAGACCTCGGATTTCGCCCCAGACCGTTTCCCCGGCGGGCAGTTGGTGATGAAGCAACTCAAAGTCTGGGTGAAGAGTCCCACGAGGCAGACGATGAGGAAACATTCCCTCGGCTTCACTTGGAATCTCGACGCCATTTGTCCTGCCTCTATACCTGCCTCTGTAGAACACATTCCAAAACCATTAGGCGTCGTGAGAGACTCCGGCAACCATTTACGACATCACCGTTCTTTCGCATTCGTCCCAATTGATGCATTTTCGAGGCAAATTGTCTCCAGGGAAGGGAAGCCGAGTCGAGTACTATGCGTCGAGTACTATGCCTACGCATAGTACTCGGCGAGTGCACCGCGTTCATGAAAAGTCGCGGGCAAGAGAATGGCGATTCTACAGAAGCCCCAGTTTCTGGCATTTAGGGTGAGATTTAGAGGCTAATTAAAATCGGATTACTGTTGATTATTTTTTCAAATAGCGATTAAAATGTGATTCGATAGTTCGGCTGAGTAATCAAATCGTATTGGCTACCTTAGGGATTATTTGTTGGTTATTTCCCTTGTGATAGCAGTTGAATGACTCGGCGATCACAATTTTCAGAATGTCAGATTTACTTATAATAAAAAAATATTGTCAATCGCTTACCGCAAATTTGTAAGATCTGCTAACATTTGTGAAAGTTTCAAACAATAGCATTCCTGAGAACGTCGATAGCTTTCCGGATTTATCTATCTGCCGTAGACCGATAGATAATTCCATAAAGAACTTCATTTCTTTCGGAAAGGAAAGGGGATTCGATAGAAAAAGATGACTCGGCTTCTCAGACGAGGTGGGAGAAAAGCCGAAAAGGGGAAGAGGCAAAAGGGCGATGAACGAAGGTGAGAGATTGTCAGGAAAAGGGGAATTTCTCCCGTTCGGAAGTAAGTCGTTTCTCTCCCTCAACGTCCTGATCGACCCCCACCTTACCCCCCCCCCCCCCCCCCCCCCCCCCC